AGAGCCAACTATCGATCTTAAAGGCGAAAATCACAAAAATATAGTTTGAAACTATATTGTTTGTAATTATTACTAAAGAGGGTCCGAAACTTGGCCCGAAACATCTGAATTTTTGTAAATAAATATATCACAAGCTTTTATTAAATTGTGATTTTCGCCTTTAAGATCGGCAGTCGGCTCTTATTTGCCTTATTCTTTGTTTGCATTAATTTTAACTATTGTAAATTGAATTCAGTATAATGTATTTGCTTCAATAAATGTAATTGAAAAGTTTCTATAATAGATTGTGTCACGTCACGATAATCATAGAAATCTATCTGGAAGAACGAATAATTTACGATCACCGTATAATTGAACGTCATACTTCGTAAAACTATCTAATTTCCATCCAATCCAATTTCCTTTTTTATTTCCTTATTCCGATTGTTCCCTCAATTTGCTGCGTTCTCAAAAAAGCATGCATTGCGCAGCCTTAGTTTTTTCTTTCACTAGTTCGAGCCGGCTAGTCATCAGCGACCGTTGCTGAGGGAGAAGGACAATCGTTACCTACTGGCCGTAGCCTCCCTTGATACACACCTGAATAAGAGGAGACCGAAATAACCCGCGCCGCGGACAGGTCCTCGCGCGAAGACCAACATTTTCGGGCCCGTCCTAATGGCACCTCGAGAGCCCTTTTTTGCCGATTTCGGACGCGCGAAGGTGTAAATTGGACGGCGGTGAGCAAGAATCTCACCTCGTTTCGGCGTATCGTGAAAAAAAGTCACCCGCGCGGAGTCGTGTCGATGATAATCGCGCACGGACATCGCGGATGTTACGATCGAGGTCGCGTTGATGCGCGGAAAAAAAAGGAGCGACATGATTTGTTGCTATGCCGCCTGATTCGAGAAAAATGAGATTGCACGAGATGAAGGTAAAGATACCAATGCCTGGGCATGTTGTATCTAACTCTGGACATCCTTATTGTTTTGGCCTTTAAACATAAACTTTTAAATATTCAACGTATTATATATATATATATATATATATATATATATATATATATATATATATATATATATATATATATTTGTATGTGTGTGTTTATTATCTATGCTTATTTGATAAATAAAAATAAACAGGCCGATAGTCATGAATCTAGTCAGCGAGCACGCGAAAGAAACGTGTGTTTCTTAAAGTTCCTTGTACTTCGTCGCGGCCATGTTGAATTTGTGTGACGTCAGAAGCGAGGAACGACATACTGACAAAACTTTGCGTGCCATTTCTAAATAAAGATAAATATGGAACGAAAGAGCACTTGAGACTGTTTGAGCTTGTTACTTGTTAAATTGTCCGAAAAGTATCGCCTAACGATTAATAAATAGTCATATAATAAATGGTGAAATGAGGCATACAGACATAACTCATTTCACCATTTCATATATCTCATTTCACCATTTGTTATACGACTATTTATTGATTTATTGATCATCAGGGGAAAGGAATATCTTTCGGATAATTTTACGAGTGTACTCAAGCTATCTCAAATATTCTTACGTCCATATTTATCTTTATTGAGAAATGGCACGTAACTTTCGTCAGCGTGTCATTCCTCACTTCTGACGTCACAACTCCGGCCGGCGAGGTACAAGGAGCCTCAACTCGCGAATTTAAATCATCTCGAGTAAATCGCTGATGTCGAACGCCGAACCGCGGCCCGTCGATGGTGATCGACGACTCAGGTGTAAATTTAGCACCCTACGGCATGAGATCAGACGGCTTGAATTAGAAAACATTGCCCGGCGAAATGCCGATATAAAGTTCTTACAGCGTGAAGAGTCACCTGAGACTTCTACGAACACGAGCCTTAAGCATGACTAATCCCGCGAGCAACGGGATTATTAATATTCACAGGCGTGGACAGGTCACGTCCGATGCAACCTCGACTTTCCACGTAATGATATTGTAGCTGTAACGTCGATGAATATTTTGTGTTCGAATTGAAATTGTACGTACATACATCACAAGTTTCAGGAAAGCCTTCCTAACATTTACTAAACCCGAAGCTCATTAGTGTCTGAATATTCATCACGACTGTTGACTGTTCGGCTAATTTGTCATTTTGACAGCAAAACATGCAACAGCGCAACAACGTAATACGTAAAATCTGGACACATATAAGTTAAACATAATGATATAACAATGATTAATGAACTCTTTTCATTAAAACTGTTTGCTTTCATTATACAATTTTTGCCAAATACCCGATGACTTCCTTTGGAGGTTGCATTGATCACGAGAATAGTCGGGGTCTTCTATGAATCAGGATTATCTGCCGAGTGTGGGAATAAGCGTCGCGATCGCAGCTCGTTAACTTAATCCGATGAAGAATTGACAAGATGGTACTATATTCCCGCCGCGAACTATATCCTTGATTATGTGGTCGAATGAAGCTGTGACTGTGGTTTCAGAAGATATACGATTATGCGAAGTCGATGACCAAAGCGGACTGGACTTACTCGTATCTTTTTTGAGTGAAGTTTTACTCGAAGAGTAGAGTGACCGTCGATTTATTTGAATTCGACTTTTCACTCATACAGAGTAAACTTTTCATTCTGAATTGTCGAGTGAATATCTTCATTCTAAATTGAAGAGTAAATCTGACGTATTTCATTGTCACACGGGAATATATTCACTTTAATATCGATTGAAACATTCTCTCACATTACGTCAGAATTCACTCTCGCGATTTTGAGTGGCAGTATTTTCTCGCTACTCATTCGAACTGGATTATGACGTTTTGCAATGCGCCTTCCAGATTCATTGGCATGATATTGTTAAGTAGTGATTTAAAAGAATCTCAATGTTATACAACGATGTAATAATACACTGAGAGAAAAGACTGGTAACTATAACAAACTGCATTTAGTTACAGAAATTCATTGAATCCTTAGTAACTAATACTAAATATGATAATAATTACCAAATATTTAATAGATCGGGAGTATGACGTAATTGCATTCACAGTAACATCAATTAAATAATTTAGTAATAGTTACTTAATGTTAAATATTTAATATGAAATATATTACAGTTATGAACAGATATTTGATAATTGTTATGAAATCGTTATATCCCATATAATAAAAAATTCAGTAGGTACGAGTTCTATTTTGTTACCAGTATAAGTATGTTTTGTTGCAGCACAACGAAAAATTCATTCATTTGCAGCTATTACATCGTTTCAATATCTATTATTACAGATAGTTGGTTGAACCTATCAAAAATTTTGTAACTATTATAAAATCGCTTATTTTGCTCAACTATTCAATAAGTTTTATTTACCAAATATATTCTGAAGCAAATAAATTTTACTTCTGTCAAATAAATAATTTATTTTACAGAACTAAATTAATTAATAAGTATTGCTATAGCTTTGGCTCGCTATATTTACGTCTATCATTTAGTAATAGTAACCAAATTTTGATAATATTTACTAAATTCTTCTCTCAGTGTACAAAAAAAGACTCTTCAAAATTGCGTGACCGAAGCTTCAAATTATATGCGTAGAAGAATGTTTGCATCAGAAAATGCACTTTGCAATTTAATCAATCGATTTCCTTATGATGCTTACAAAATATCCACCGTGTTGACGCATGCGCTGTGCGCTTGACGTTTGAAGAGGTTCGATAATCAGAGGATTAAAGGACATTTCAAGTCGAGGGAAACACTCCGTTCCCCAGCAAACCTTTTCCAGTTTTTCTGTTTACTTTGTAACAGCCGAACGAGCCGTCTCGTTTTCGACCTGACGAGAACTCTCGAAGGCGTCAGGCCGTGCGGGATTTCTCTCTAAAGATTCAGATGCGCTCTGACAGATATGAGTCCACGACGCTCGTTTAAGAGTGTTCGTTATTTCACAGTCGCCATTGTCACATCATAATAGAGCTGGACACAAACATGCTCTTGAACCTATATAATCACCATCGGCGGTGTTCCTACCACAGGTTTCTCTCGAAAAACCTGCGAATATCTTTTCGCAATCGTTCACGCTTCAAGAATCATCTTAGAACTATTCTTCACGGAGGACACTTCTTTCAGAACAATGGCATCCGTTTTCCCCAATATATTCTTCTTTGTGCTCTTTGAAACCGTAAAATTTTGTATAGTTCAAGTGACCGCACAAACATAATATTAGATCACAAATGTATTGCAAATCCTAATGTATTAATGTAACACACTTTGTTTATATAATTTTAAGATAATACGTTTATCTACGTTATTTTAATAACATATAACCATGCAATGTGATAATTTTAAACAAATTTCATTTGTTTTATAATGATTATCTTGAGACGTGTGACAAAATAGAACCAGATTAGGTGTTATTAAGGCTCTATGTGATTAAACAATCAAAACTCACAGTTAAAGGCTGTAAAGAGCCAAATATTAAGAGAAAATGTGCAAAAAGATAGCAAAAAGATGTTCATTTTCTCATATTATTATGTGTAATCTAATGTGTATTACAAACAAATGAGTGAGATCTTTTATAAGATATATAATATAAAATGCGATACATTTGAGAACAATAATGCGACATCATATATGCACGATTGAATTCACGCTTTACATTTAAATGAATCATCCATAGTAGAAAAAAGTTCGACAAATAAGACTGACGTATATAAATGAGCCCAGAATTTTAAATAAGCATTAATTGTGACTGTTGACAGCGAATCGGGAAAAGAAAGCGCGAGGTTTCTTAGAAATGACGTAAGAAACCGTTACGTAAGAATCGTTCTTCTTGCTGATAAGAGAAAGAAGTCTCGCCGAACGGTATATGCTCGAAACGTATATGCTGAAAACACAGTTTCGAAATACTTGCGAGATGCACGACAATGCATCCAGCAGATTCCGAACATTCAGCGCAGCTCGAGTAATGCAACGCGATGCAGCGTAAGGTGCAACCCACGTGTACACCGTGACATTCCAATCGTGACTTGCAATCTGCATTTGTAACTTCGTACCTACTCTGAAGATGTCTGATCCTTTACGCTTAGTCCCCTTTTAACGGCGTGTACGCGTAACGAATGAAGAACTCGCTAAGCAAAACCGCTCGGTTGATAATTACCGTACCGTTAGCTCATGTTCACGTAAGTACAGAAACTTTTTCCCTCGGCGCAACCATATCACTATTACGCGTATTATTCTCCTGTCACCTTCGTCGACAGAGAAAAGAAAACACAAGGATTTCTAAACTGTCCACCAATCAAAACAAATAAAGCAAAATAAATAAAGTAAACGAAACATCACGAGTTCCTGATTCTCGAATATAAGAAAACACAAACTATACTCTTTATATTTCTTGGAGTGATATTATTTGAAATAATATAATATAATTCGAAATAATAATATTATTCGAAACAAGCGAAAAGCGACAATATTTTCACTCCAAGCGAAAATACCGCCACTCAAAATCGCGAGAGTGAATTCTGACGTAATGTGAGCAAATGTTTTAATCAATATTAAAGTGAATATATTCTTGTGTGATAATGAGATACATCAGATTTACTCCTTAATTTAGAAAAATATTCACTCAACGATTTAGAACGAAAAATTTATTCTGAGTGAAGAGTCGAATTCGAGTAAATCGACGGTCACTCTACTCTTCGAGTAAAATTTCATTAAAAAAATTTAGAGAGTATCATATTTTATATAATCTCATTTCTTTTCGTAAAACATAGTTTGTTGTATTTAAGTGTTGAAAGAGAGAGAACTCAAAATTATTATTACAAAGTTTATGAAAATTATCATTTTCACCAATTATTTATTATGTATCTGATTATAAGATATCATTAACTTTAATAAAACACAAAATTTTAAAATAGAAATAATGTGTCTTGTTTCTTTTACATGAAAAACATGTAACAACCTCTGAGTATGGAGTAGATAGTCACATTTGCACGACTTTGCTTGAAACTTATTAATTTTTTTGTGTAAAAATATATATAGATAATTTTCCTTTTCTTTTACTTAAATATTACATCTGCATGAAAATGTGTACAATATTAAAAAATATTGCATAAATTTTTTTTGTAATCAGTATGTAAAAAGTGTGACAATTACATCCAGTCTGCACTACTCCTTAGGTATGTGCGTTAAGTAGCGCTTACGGTTAAACTCAGCAGTCCGAGAGTTCTGAATAACTTCTTGAATTGATTCAACTGATAAGAAGAGCGGCATAATTTTTCTTACTGATTGTGTTCGTCCGAGAATCGCGTGTCCAACCGATCGTGCCGGTCATAGTGCGCATTTGCGCAAAGAGGTAAGAGGGAATCACGATGCTCCAGGCCACGTTCCTATGAATAAAATGTGTTTGATCGATGGCGCAGTAACGGAGGGCAATATTTTGAAAGCAAAACGAAAGAATCTACAGCGACGGGAGCAACACGGGTGGACAAGGCAATTCGGTCTCCCCGCGTCACCACACAAAAGGCTCACTGAACTGCGACACGAGCGAAAATGTGTCATTACCGCGTAAATTACGATCCGGCGCTTCCGTACGCATCCTGCGTTCCCCGAGATAATTGCCGTGAATTAGCGACGATCGATGGACAGCCGCGGAGAGATGTCGGCAGTACCGCGAACCGAATACTAATCTCGTTACGCTACACTTCTCGGAGTGTAAAAGTACATAGGAATCCTGTCGAGGAATATCCTGGCGAAATATTAAACCGACGTTTACTAAGTCGAGAAAGGAGCTGCTCTCTTTTCGGCGCATCATTGCGATTATTGTCATTAAGGGGATTGGTAAAACCCAAACTTCCATCACGACGTGAGACAACCGATGATAAGAACTGTGTCGAATGAATCATTAAATTTACATCATACAGTGTCGTGAGAATTTTCTTATTATGTTGATGCGATGACAAATTTATTCAAATTCACACGGAAAACATTTCAGTTCCTGTAACTGAATGGGGACCAAAAGTCGCTGACGAGGAATAATATATCTGTCACTGTGGCCGGAAACATTCGTCTAAATATTCAGCTGCATTAAAACTCGGTTACGATAAACTGAAAGCAATTGGCTGAGTAGAAACTTCTCTTACATGAATCTTTCTGTTCCTACAACCGAGTTTTTTATCTGGTCCCCAGATTACAGACAAACTAATTTATACTAACGTTTTTTTCGTGCAGATTTTTATATTACATTTTACATTACATAGTATTTTGAGTAAATTTTATTAATTTATTTCTTTCACATTTTTATTTCGTTATTTTGTGTAGTAAATATGAGTATTATAAGTATCACTCTTAAGGAATGCAACTTTTACAAATCAACTAGTAAAATTGCTGTCAAATTTTCGCGTATATGTCTGAGAAATAAAATAACATCCAGACAGATAGAAGTACATAAGTTCCCACTTAAATTAATGGATATAGATATGAAATCCATGGAGTATGTCCCGAAAAAAATGACTTGTTTTGGACATCTTTTAGATATCTTCAAAACATTTCTTAGCAATTTGTGGTGTCTGGAAGTTGATTTATAATAATTCATACAATTCATTAAACATACACCCACATTGATGTTAAAACAGATTTACACAAATTTAGAAAATAGTAATAAATATATAACACTAATTCTTCGCGATGAAGATATCTCAATAAAAAGTTCACGGCATATACGGTCCCAGACAGCACAGACATCCAAAAGACGTCTTAAAAACATCATAAAAACGTCCTTACATCCTAAGTATGTCCAAACGTCCTAAGTACATCCTTTAGATGTATATGTGCTGTTTGGGGTTACCCTGGTTACGACTGCACATTGTGTATTGCACTTTAAAAGGTCATTCATTAAACACGACGCACGGAGTTAACACACAACACGCTCAGTTTATCCCTCAAATCGACTAATTCGCCGTTGAGGGGAAGCTCCAGGCGATCGATCGTCCCCGATTTGCCGGCGCGAGCTTACACACAAATTACAAAGTCAGGCGCTCCCAGTGGCGTAAATAATTCACTACCGGCACGTGACAGAGTCGATTAATGCTAACAAGTGGGAGATTATCGGATGTTACTCACTCTGACAGCTGACAGCACCCAGAAGGACGATGAGCAGCAAAATCCTCGTCGGCTCCATTTTCCAACAGCGACGTCCCGGCGCGCGGCAGCTGTCACAGCACACTTATACACCCTCACTGTCCCAGTCCCAAGCGCCACCTCGAACGACCAGACGAAGGCGCGAATGGAGACTCCGCGGAAACTCGACGAGATATCACAGAGGAGATATCGCGGAGATGCGAATCGCGAGAGAAGAACGCGCGGAGGAAGTCGGCTTGCGAGCGCTCCGTTTCCTGTTCCTCTCCCCGTCTGCTTCGCGCGGCGAAACGGAGCGTGCCCAGGCACTCTCCGCGCTAACTTCACGCAGGAGCGCTGCGAGTGAGGACCGTTTCGCGCGCGAACACGACGACGTCACGCCGGTTTCCCCGATAACGGAACGACAACTGCCGTCCGCGAATTGTCCCCGAGCAGGACTATCCCTCTCTCCCTTCCCCGTTTCGTCGTTAGCTCGCACGAGAAAGCAAGGACCGTGGCTCAGTGGCGAAGTCGGCTCATATGTACGAATCAGCGGTACTTCGCGAGGGGATGAAAACAGTTGCCTGTCGCACGCTGTCAATCGTGAGGGGAACACGACCGCACAGCGCTGCGGCTCGCAGGCGAATGCCACCGAGAGCGCCGCTCTTCCGAGTTCCGTGTCGGCATAGGTGCGCGTCCGCTGATCCTCCCCCCCCCCCCC